AAGGTGGGATATATTTGCTGTCCAGTGTCCTCAGAGGAGATAAGTCCTCTGAGCTATATCTGCTAAGTTTGCTTTAACAGACTCCTAAACTGCAATGTGGGACTTGTGAGTGCTCTAATGATTCATTCCTGAAAAATCTTACCTTCACCAATCAGTTTTGGACTTGGTTTCACTGGTGATGTCTGAAAGGAACATGGATCTGCACTCCAGTGGAAACAGTGTCTCTCATAAGTAAATTATATTTTTTTAAAGACAGAACAGGGGTACTTTAAGCCTATGACAGTCTTGCTTCAGGGGCCTAGAAAAAGCAGTTTCTTCCTTTAGTTCCTAAAGCTTGGGGATTGGTTTCTTTTTTTCTCTTGGTCCCCTTTAAAGGCCCTGCCTATGCAGGTCTTAACTGGTTCAAAATGGTTCTTTTACGGTGAGATTGAATGGGTTTTGCTTCCTTTGAACATCAGGTGACCCTTGTAAGCATGGCTTATTGTGTCATCAAATTAATTTCAAATACTCAGGTCGTTCCCCATACCAAACTTCAGAGAAATAACTACTCTAGTATAGGCTACAAAGGAATTTTTTGCAGCTATTAGAGCTACTCAGCAAGAACAACTTACCTAGCCAACAGATCCATAGGTATTTTTCTCTTGTTTTGGAAACTAAGGTGTAAACTTCAGGAGAAAGAGTCTAGTTTGTACTGTATCTAAAAATAAATCTCTAGTCACTGTGGTCTCTGCAAAGAGAAACAATCAAATATTTTATTACCCACAGTATCAGCTGTGGTGTTGGAAAATACCCCAGAAGGTGGCATTTCTTGGCTCAAAACATTCCCTCTCCAGCACTCTTCTAGTGCAGGTTATCACATACATGGTCACAGGAACTATCCTAAGAATCCTATCTCCTGGAGTGTTTGCTACTTGGTGATAAAAATGCATACATCACCAGTAAGATTTCCCTGTACTTGCAGTTCTAAAATCAAAATTGTGTTAGGTGAAACAAACAAACAAAACAAAACCACAAAATCCTCCCCCCTCCTTTTAATTTAATAATGTCTTTGATATTTTATCTAAATTCATCATATCTTAGAACTAACATTCCATATATCTTGTTTGTGTCTTTCTAATTGCAAATATTAATGTCTTGATTCACCTAGTACCTTGATAGTCCTGTTTTGGATAAACATGCCTTCCTGCAGCAAAGACTGAGAGCAAAGATATGTAAATAATACTTGTAACCATCCTCAAGACTTCAAAACTTTCTAAAAACATTTACTTAACCTTTATGTCACCTCCACCAGGTAACATTATAGGTATCCTAAAAACAAGGGCATTCTGAATCTGAATTCTTCTGTATAAAGAATACCTCTCGCTTTTGTATAAAAAGTATACTCAACAATACAGCTCAAATTTACATATTTCTAACGCTGTACTTCATTCACAGGGCAATACTTTGGTCACTCTTCTGTTTAGGCATAATTGCCACTTGGATCCCATTGCTAACCCTCCTCTGATCTTCCCAAAAGGCAATGTTTCCATTTCAGAGCAATCTCAACAGTTGTCCCAGTAAATGCACCATGCTACATCTTTCCTTTCTCCATCCTCAAACAAGCAACAGGCCTTAAAAGCTCGCCACCACCCTGGCTCTCCCTAGGGCAAGCCAGTACACAGGCTTTCAGAAACCTTGCACTTCTTGGTAGCACCACCTCTTGCGCTCCCTCACTGCAGTGACAGGAGCCTGCTTTCCTCTGCCTGGCCCGACTCATCGCAACGCCAATTGCTCCCACTCACTGACAGCTATCCCAGGATCTCAGATTTGTAACGAGAACAAATTAATCCCACTGTCTACACCATGTTATAAACAATATGCCATTTCACTTGCTTCTTATTTCAGGAAAAAAAGGACCTGCTTTATTCTATCTTGGTGACCTGAGTATAGTAAAAAAAAAATTAAAAAAAAATAAATGTCCTAAGCTAGAATCAGGATGCTTTCAACTAAGCTACATCATTATGAAAAACACTTTTCACCTCAGTCTCTCAAAACAAACACTGAAACCAGTCCAATACCGCCAGTGATGACCTTTTACTACTCTTTCACTATACAAAATAGCATAAAGACCAAATTCACAGGACTAATTTTGCAGAAAACTATTAACCACCATTATAGTTTCAGAGTAGAATGTGTGTTATTCTAGATTTTTTAAAAGGCATTATTAAAGGACTTGTAACTTAGAAAAACTCAAACAATCAAAAGAGATGAAAACCTTCAACCTTTATCTGATCATCTGCAAGTGAAGCTCAAGAGTTAGCTGTTTAAAACAGTACTGCAGAACAAAAAACATTCTTCAAACACAGACAACATCATAATAAAGGAATAAAATACACGTGCAACACTTGTATCTAATACAACCAACAGGAATTTTTAGACATGGCAGAAGTCAATACAAGACTTGATTTGTATCCAAGGATTGTGGACACAAGCAAGAAGCTGGCACTCCAGCAGAAGACAAAGCCTGGATTCCACTTCCCTCACCCATCCCACCTTTCCCTTTTCCTGCCTTGCTTCCTTGCCTGAAGGCAAAGTGCCTACAGTTTCACATTAACAAGTATTAGGACCAGATACAAAACTCAAGTACTTGAGGTAAGACACCTTGATTTGGAAAGTCTGAAATGTAGTTCAGATTTTACCGAGATAGGCATGAGATCTAAAGTACTTTTGTGCAACTAGGTTACATTCTTGAACAAGGAAAACTGTTGTCTCAGTGTAAGTAAATAAACAAAAGAAGTAAATCTCTAGAGCCCCTAATCAGGCAAAATCAGATCCCAGTGTTTTACCTAAAAAAATTACCTTGTTTCAGCACTACAGAAATGACCATGTTTATAGCAATAATAATATTCTGCTTAAAAAGAGCCAGGATATAGGAAAATCCGTTTGAAATCACACAATTTAAATTCACATATGCTCTGAGAGAATTTGTTGAAATTACAATACTTATCATAATTAGCATTTCATTAAGGCAGCCAATGCATTTAAAAAAAAAAAAAAAAAAAAAAAAAAACCCAAAAAACTATAAAGCTTTCTCATTGAGAAGAAGAAGAAGATGAACCACTTGACCAGTCACTAACACCCAGCCCCTTCATTTTCCTTGTACATAAGAAAGGATATTCCACAATTCCACAGAAATCACTACTCAGTCCGTTGGGAACCCAGGAGGAAAGATGCTCCTGCACAATTCTCTGGCAGGAGGAAGCAGTTCAGAACTCCTCCATTTTCATGATTCCAAGCCATTTCTTGACTTCTGTCTTCTTAAACCACACAGTGGAAAACTGGCATCATCAAATCTCACCCGACTGCTGGGACAGGAAGAGCAGACCATGCTCCATGCATGGTGTTCTTAAGATGCACTTTTGAAACTCTACCAGTGTTAGGACTTGGAAATATATTTAAAGTCAAGTCAAGCCACAGAATGACAAAGCCCCAAGCCAAGAGTCCATCTGCCAGGGGCAAGAGCAATTCTGCACTCCCAGGAATAGGAAGTGCTTCAGAAACCACCAGCTGAGTGAGGAAAAAACATGAAAGCTTGAGAGGTTAAGAAAAATCTGAAAAAGAACTTTACTAGCAATTATTTTCTTCATATATACATACAGAGTTTGACCAAAAAAAAAAAAAAAAAAAGAAAAAAGAAAAAAAAAGAAGAAATTCAGACTTCTCTAAGAATCCTTGGATTCAAATATATATATTTATTAAAAAGAGACATTGACTCTATGGCCAAGACATTATGCGTCTCAGAACAGGTTTTTACAGCCATGTTATAAAAACCCCTTAGCAAAGCAGTTATGCACTAGACTTCAAACACATGTACTCCAAGAATGACACTGGTGTGGAGGATCTTGTTTTACATCCATTTATTTTTGTCCCTCAGCAATTATAGCATAGTTTCAATACATTTCTAAAGTTATAGAGAAATACCAGGGCAACTAGAGTACATACAAGCCAAAGTTAAAATGGTAGACAGCTGAATTAGAAAACAAAAAAACCAAAAAAAAAAAAACCCAAACAAAACAAAAAGTATGCATTCAGCAGGAAATCTACTATACTTCATTCAGTTTAGGCTTTGTTCTTTAGGGAACAAGGTGCTAACGTGCCATTTTCTCATAAAATGAATCATAATTGCTTCCAAAGAGTTTCTGCTGAAAATGGTGGAAACAAATAAGTGTAACACTAAACTTTCTCCTATAAACTTAGAAGCAACACTTTCTTGAATCAATTTCCACCCTCCAAACACCACTGCTGCTTTTCTTACATGAACTCACTGTTTTATTAAGGCATAATTGCCCTGAGCAATATGCTGGAAATTAGCCAAAAACCCTAACAATTAAAGGCAAGCACCAAGTAATTTTTTTTTTTTTTTTGACAAATCTTGAAATCTGTTTTGAAACTCACCTGTACTTGGGAGTAGCACTTGAGGAAAAAAAGAAAATATTGCTTTTAATTACTTTAAGTAGAATGGCAGTTTTAGTTTCCCCCTTCTCCTTCCAGGCTAAAGTTTTCAAGACAATTATCTAGGTACCAAAGCAAGACCAGCATACCAAGACCTAAGTGGGACATCTGTTCAAGAGCTTAATTTTTAAGCAACTCAGCATAAAAATTTCAGTGCCCCACCCTAAGCAATTAAAATGAAATCTTATTTTCCTCAAGAGGCAAGATCATCACACACTGGATACCTCTGGTCTTAAAAGCAAGATGGAGCCTGGACAGGAGAATCATACACTCTATGCTCAGACTGCCTTCCAGTCTTCTTTTTAAAGCCAGAAAAGCCTACAAATTACCTGGTGCACTGCACACTTTCTCTGTAAAACGCACAGTATTACAGAGTCCAAGATCCAGGAAGGTACTTTTCAAAGCTAGTGCTAACAGCACACATGACTGTCTCTGTCAACAAATTTAGGCAATACTGGCTAGTCCCTTTAAGCTACCAGAGTATCCATAAAAGAAAGACAACCAAATTATACATTTTATTCACATTTATTTTTCGCTTTTAGTGTGCTCACAGAAAATTAGAACACCTTAAGCAGGAGTTTAATAGCAATTTTTGTAAGCAAAGTTACATTCCATCTCTAAGTCAAATTGGTCAAAGCTTCTCCAGTATTTACAAAAACATGATAGACAAGATGCTACACAAAAAAAAAAAAAAAAACCAAAAAAAAAAAAAAAAAAAACCATTGCATTTGAAGAGTTTTCCTTTATTTTCAAAGACAACTGGAAAAGAAAGCATTGTCTGCTGTAATCAAAAACATACCACAGTATAAACAGTAACCATTCCACTTATCACAGCTTGGTTGAGTTTAAAATTTGTGTTTAAAAGGTCCAAGATGACTGCAGTTTTACAAAAATGGGCAGGGTGGAAAGAGTTGCAAACTTCATGTGCTTCTGGATATCAAGATTTGTTTTTTTTATACAATAGTCACAGTTAAAAACACCCTGCTGGTAATACATAATTACACTTTATTAAGGTCATAAACCAGCAATAAACAATAAAGCCTATACAACTTGTATTTCTACTTAATCACTGACTGATACAGCTAACATGAGATAAGTGAAAAGTTCCTATGGTTTAAATGAATTTCTAAGACTATGATCTCTTTATCTGGGTATTGATTTTTATTTTTTATTTTTTTTTCCTTTTTCCTTTCCTTCTTAATCAAGACTTGTAGTGTTGTAAACCTTATAGAACATCTGCCTCACAAAATACATCGTAATAACTTTCTTTTAAAAAAAAGACTAACCCCTTACATCATTTCTGGCGGGGCGCACTCCCGGCAAGGGCTGCGCGCCCCGGGTTCCCCACTGCGGCCCCTGTCACTTCATTTGATATCCCTTATTGACCCACCCATCTCCTTCATATATGGGCATGTCCATAGACCGATCGGCAAAAGTTTTATAATATGAAGAGAGTTGCAAAGTATGAAATTAAAAAATAAACGAACAAAATTTTAAAAAGCAAAAAACCAACAAAAAAAAAAACCGAACCAACCAAAACAAAACATTAATACTGATGAAAAAAAAACCCCAAAAAAACCAAAATATAAAGGATGGGAGAGGAAGGCGGAGGGGAGCCCCCCTCCGCCCGTTGGAATGGCGGCAACATATAACGATTTGAGATGGGAGCTGCGGGGGGAGAGAAAAAAAAGAAACGAGACATCTTTTAAATCAATCCCTGGTTGTAGACAAGTTCTCCGAGACCAGTACCTGGCACCACTCCAAAAACAAACAGGGGGGAAGAAAAGTCCGTCGGCGAGGGGCGGCGGCGGCGCTTACTACTCCGCCGACTCGGCGGCGGGTCCCTCCGGACTGCTCTCGGCGGGGGGCTCCTGCCGCGCCGGCTCCTCCGCGGGGGCCGCCTCCTGCTCGCCGTTGCCCGCCTCATTCGTGGCGGCGCCGGCGCCCGCCGCCTCCTCCGCCTTCCCCTCCGCTGCCTGCTGAGGCGGCTGCTGCTCCTCGGCCGCCGCCGATGCCGGGGCCTCTTCTCCCGCCGCCTTCTCGGGGGCGGCCTCGTCCGATTTGGCCTCCTGCGAGTCCCCCGCCTCCTCCTTCGCCGCCTCGGCGCTGCCGGCCGCGCACGCCTCCTCGGCGGCCGCCTTGCCCTCCTCGCTGCCCGCCGCCTCAGGGGCCGCCGCCTCCTCCTTCCCGCCCTCCGCCGCCGCGGCGGCGGCGCCGCCCTCGCCCTCGGCCCCCTCGCCGGCCTCCTTCTTGTTCTTCTTGAAGGAGAAGCCGCTGAGCTTAAAGGACTTCTTGAAGGAAAAGCGCTTCTTTTTTTTTTTCGGGGTCTCGCTGCTGGACGAGGGGGTCGCGCCCTCCTCAGTCTTGGGGGAGGACTCGCCCTCCGCCGGGGAGGCCGGCTCGGTGCTCTCCGCCTCTCCCGCCTCCTTCTCGGAGGCGGGCTCCGACGAGGCCGCCTCCTCTTTGCCCGTCTCCTCGGCGGGCGCGCTGCCGTTCGCCTGCACCTCCTCCTTGCCCGCCTCCGCCGCCGCGGGGGAGGCGTCGCCGTTCACCTTCAAGTGGCCGTTCTCCTGCAAGACAAGGACCAGTGTTACCGGCGGTGCCCGGGGGGGTCGCGGGGCGCCGCCGCCGCCCTCCCCGCCCGCCGGCCTCGCCTCGCCGCTTCCCGCGGTTCGAAGCCCCGCGCTCTCGCCGGGCCGGGCGCCCCCAGCGNAGCTGCGGGGGCGGCGGGGGGTGGCTGCCCGCAACGCCGCCGCCGCTGCGCGGGGCAGCGGCGGCACGGCCAGCCCGGCTCACGCGTGGGGAGGGGGCGCGGGTGGGTGACAGAAAGCCGTGCCCCGCGGCTGCCGGCCCCCCGGCGGGGCTACCGTGGACGGGGCGGGCGGCGCAGCCCCCGGCCCGCGCTCCCGCCCGAGGGGGTTTCCCGCGGAGCCTCCTGCCCGGGGGCTCCGGGCCCCGCTACTGCACGGCCGTCCGGCTGTGCCACGAGAGACGTTCATCTAGAGGCACCGAGTGTCTTCGGGAGGAGGTTAAGCGGGCAGAAAAGCCAAGCGGTGTAAGATCCTTCCGTTTACGAGCCATTGGGACACTCCACCATAATACACGAGGGATTTTAAAAAAAGAAAGAAAAAAAGAACCGTGCCCCTTCCTCCCCGCCCCCACGCAGGAAAGATAAAGGAAGGAATCATTCAAAGCCGAGCCCCTTTAACCAACATAAAGAAATTATTCCTTTGCCTCGAGTTGCAAAGATAAAAGGATCGACCGTATTCTCCATCGAATGTGCCACTCGGGCATCAAAGGAAGAAGAATTAAACAGGATGCGAAACAGAGTCCGTCGAAGTTGGCTTAAAAAAAGGAGTAGATTTAATATTTTTAAAAAATTCTTTTCGTTTTTTACCTGTCCATTCGCCTTGGATGGAGATGCAGCCACTGCTTCCCCAGGTTTCTCGGCGGAGGCTTCGCCCTTTGCAGCGGTCTTGGAGAACTGGGCACCCATGCTGTCTTATTCAACAAAGAAACTCAACAGATCCAAAAGGAGGGGAAACAAAGAGCGTTGGGTTGGTATAAATACTGGGCGACCAGCAGCAGCAGCAACACACACACACACCAGAGGGGGGAAAAAAAAGAGAAGAGAGAACAGAACCGATTATAATGCACTCCTTTTAAAAAATTTAAAGTTGAAGAGATCAAAAAGCAGCAGCACAGGAGGGAGGGGAAAAAAAGGGAGGAAAAAGTCGAGCAAAAAAAAAAAAAAGGAGCCCAAGTTTAGTAAAAAAGAAGTAATAAAAAATCCCAGATTTGTAGCCGTACTGTAGACAAGGAGAAAATGGAGAAATCTCCCTGGTTGCTAATAAGATGCGGAGTCCAACGCCCAAGTGCACAGATGAATGGGCTTCCCGAGCGGTGACGGCAGCGCTCCGCCCGGCGCCGGCCAATCGCGGCCGCCGCGCACAAAGGGGGGCGGGGCCCGCCCGCCCGGCGAACAATGGAGCCGCGATGGCAGCGGTTTGAAATCGGCCCCCGGCCGATAATGAATGTGCCGCTCCGCTCCGCCGCGGCGCGGGCGGGCGCGCCGGGCCCCGCGCCGGGCCGCCAACAAAACACCCCGAGCGAGAGCGAGGGAGAGAGAGCGAGCGGGGCGGGCGGGCAGGGACAATGGTGCGAGGGGCGTGCGGGTGAGTGCGAGTGCGAGTGTGAGTGAGAGCGTCCCGGCCCCGCCGCACGCCCCCGCCCGCTGCCGCCGTGAGAGAGCAACAGATAGTGTGTGCGAGCCCCGGGCGGGGGAGAGCGAGGGAAGGAGGGGATTTGCTGCTTGCTTTTTTTTTTTTTTTTCCCCTTTGTGATTTTTTTCCCCCCTTTTCTTTTCTTCCCCGGGTTTAATTGGTCGCGATTGTTAAATCGCCCCCAATTTGGAAGGTATTTGAACCACGTAGATCGGGTTTCGCCGAACGAGATCACGAGTCGAAATTAGTAGGTCTGTAGGCCAGATGTTGCAAACGCTAAAGCAGCGGCAGCAGGAGCCGCTGCCGGAGCAGAAACGGACCCCTCCCCCATAGTGATATTGGCTTGGAATAAAATATTTTGTGATTAGCCTACGGCTCTAATTAAATTCTGCTGTCTGATTATTCCTGATTTTGTGTTTTTAAAGTATTTTCTGAGGCGGTGACCCACTTCACGATTACATTTCCATGCACTCAAGTAGTGGGCGAAGCGACATTATCAGGGAAACATTCACGCTTTCCCAAACCTCAGCCCCGAGTGTGTATTTACGTTAAATTTAAACCCTCGAATAAGATGTAACCCGAAACTAATGCATGCGAATTAACGGCGATCTGGAACGCTTATCAGCGTTGGGGTGGGCGAAATATCACGGACCCGAGTGATTTCCTTTCTCGGGGGAGGGGGCGGCGTGTGCGGGGAGCCGGCCGGCTCCCTCCCTCCGTGCTGCGATGCGGGGAAGGCTGGCCTAGACCCCCTCCCCCCTCCCCGGCACCCCCATCCCCTTTTAAGGAGCAGAAACGAGCGTCAGAACGATCGTTTTCCCATAGTCGGGTAATCTCCTCCGAACGCCTCTTGTTTATAAACAAGGATGTTAAAATGATTCCGATAATGAAGGGCTGCGGAGCGGGGAGGCTCGGCTCAGCCGCCCACCTCCCTCTCCCCGTGGATTGCCGGGGCTGGCGGGATCGGTGGGCTTCATGCGGACGCCGAGGGCCGCCTCTCGGTAACCCCGGCGAGGGCAGCCGGTTGCTTTCAACCGCTCGAGGGGATTACTTCGTTTCTTGGGGGGCAGAAAGGGGCATTTGGCTGGTGTTTTTTACGGGGGGGATAAAACCTCTCCCTCCCTCCCGCCGCATTTCACGCACAGCCCCGCCGCAGCCACTGCCGCCGCTCCCTTTGTCTCGGCCGCCGCCGCCCGCCCCGCCGAGCCCGGCGCAGCAGCGTCCCGCTCCCCGGGGCAGCCCCCCACGCCCACCCGTGCGCCCCGCACAGGCAGCACCGCAGCCCCCGGGGCCGGCGCGGGGGGCGG